GCTTTCCTGAAATTGTTGTGATTTGCATTATTCACGATCGGTAGTTATAATCAAGTTCGGTTGTTTTCCCGCTGCCATTTTTGTCTGTGCACATAGAGTCTCTCAGTATGTGTTGGTCACTCATGTCAAATATTCATTTTTGGTGTCAGAGCCAAATAAACACAGCAAAGGGAGGAAAAATGAAAAGGGGGTAGTAAGATAATTATAGAATGTGGAAACAAATGAGCTGCGGGTACAAAAAAGTGAGCTTAGTCTAAGGACTGGATGAGCAGTGAGGGGTTGTGACTTTTGCTCGAAGGCTTTTAGTTTCTCCTCCGTATTGAAGCGAATATTGGAAAGACAGATATAAGGTGTCACTAGCATGCCCATTCCACCTAAAAATATGACATAATCCTTGTAGACAAAAATGCCTTGGGTGGTGACGCCAAACAGAAAACAGAGTGGAGTTTTGAGAATAACAATGTAACTTAAAACGTCATTAAAAAACATTTAAAGCGCTCGTTGCCAGCAGATGAAATGGTTTTCATACTTTCATCTCGCTAATCTGTTTTGCAGACGCAAGGCTTGATAAATAACCGTTGTAATTTCTGGTAGACCAGCTTGTCATTAGAGGCTTGATTTATCCAGAGCTACTCCTGTGATGTTTGCAGAAATTCTAAACATTTTTGACAACATTAAATGCGGTTGGAGTGGAACTCACTGTGCGGGGCTCAAGTTGACTTGCAGTGACATCTGCTGGAATCCCATTACAACTCTGCTGAATGTTATTACTCATGTCTGGGCATATGAATGCGAAGCGGCTTCCGAGCCAGAGTTTCAGAAGATGCTTTTTGAGTGTGTGCTGCCAAGGAAAAGTTGATGTCAGGAACAAATTCCAGGTAGTGAAAGCGTTCTAAAGAGTCTCTTTTATTTATGAAGACGACGAGAGACAACACTTTGTCAAGTCACACAATGCAGGAGATGAGGGGCCTGGAAGCTGTACAGACGGGATGGAAAATGTGGCTTTGTTCAACCATTTTTTAATATAAAATAATGTTCACACGAGTCTTGGACAGCATGTACTCGCCCAAATACTCGGTATTGGCACCGATAGCGATACTAGTATCAGTATTGGTGCATCCCTACTGATTACTATTGAAAATAATTACTATTGAAAATAATTGTGAAAAAAAAATTACCCACCCCGGGGGACAGATATGCTAGGTACGCCACTGGGTGACATTAACATAATAAAAATGCAGCAATTAACCTTTCATGTGAAGGGGCAACCCAGACGATAAAACCTGCTGACATAAGTCATCCTCGCCCTAATCGTTTCCTTCTAGATAGGAAATATAAGCTTCTCCTGCTTTCACTCTCTGTGGTTTTCCGTAATGACTGTTTAACCAGGTCCAGTTATAAGTTAATGAAGTGTGCGACTGTCTGTCATACCTTAATAAATTGGAGAACATCAGCCAAAACCTTAATGGATTAAATTGGGCTAGTCGGTTTGTTGAAAAGGTAATTTGTAACACATCTGTTACTGTGAAAGCATTCCACATCATGAAATCCAAGCCAATAAAATTTTTTATTTGTAAAACTTTATTACTATTTAGAGCTGCAGCTAACGATTATTTTCAAAATCGATTAGTTAGCCGATTATTGAGTTCGATTAATCGGTTAATCGGATAAACAATAATTTAAAGTTTAAAAAATGGCTCCAGTGATGGGACTACTAGTTTGTATTGAGGTTGTAGTCCATCACAGGAGCAAGCTTGGAGCGGTGGAAGTAAAAAATAAAAAAGATAGTGTGGTGTGCAATATAGTGAAATGGAAAGTGTAAAATTATACAGCAATGAATGCAGAATGGCACCGGCTATAGAGGACTACAAAACCCAGCAATACATTATACAGCACAATGCAGAATACCACCAGCTATAGAGGAATACAACAAATCCCAGCAATAGTACATTATAGCTGGCGGCATTCTGCATTGCGCTGTATAATGTACTATTGCTGGGTTTTGTAGTCCTCTATAGCTGGTGGTATTCAGCATTGCACCACTGTATAATGTATTATTGCTGGGATTTGTAGTCCTCTATACAGCGCAAAGCGGAATATCACCAGCTATAGAAGAGTACAACAAATCCCAGCAATACATTATACATACAGTGTATAATGTATTGCTAGGATTTGTATTCCTATGTATAATATACAGCACAATGTACCATCAGCTATAGAGGAATACAAATCCCAGCAATGCATTATAGAGCACCATGTGGGGGGGAAGTGCAGGCTTACCTGAGCAGTCTTCCAGCAACTTGCTTCTGAGATCGGACCTGTCTATCGGCGGCTGTCATCACCCCACACCTGCTCCTCCTTACTACATCTCCCCACGTCCCTGTGCCGATCATGGATGTGGGGGGTGATAAGTGTGAGGCGGAGAGGAGGCGCGGCGTGTGGAGCGTGGATTGGGCGGGTCTGGCAGCAGTGAGCGTGAGGTGGGGAGGAGGTGCGGCGCACAGCGTGTGGAGCTGTGAACAGGGCCAACTGGTCGGAAGCCGATTAATCGATTATGTCGATTAGTTGTTGCAGCCCTATTACTATTATTATTATTACTATTATTATTATTAATAAAGTGTATGTACAAATCTATTTTACATTATGTTTGACATCATTCCTCAGTATAAACAGTTTTCTTTAGCAGATCTTATGTTTTTGTGACTCAATTGTTTTTATTTTGCCGCCAACTGTCAGATTTGACATTAAGGCGGTGGTTCGTCGCGTGCGGTCAGGTTGGCGTGCATCGTTTTTTAAAAAAAAATCCTATTTTTTTAAAATTTGTAAAATCATTTCAAAATTATTAGTTTTTTTAAATTTAACTTTTAGACTATTCTGCTTGCTACCTCGGAGGTACCGTGCAGAATAGCCGAGCCGAATGCCGCTGAGCTATTCACTCACTTCCGCTCGGCCCCTATGAGAATAGGGGTAAACGGCAACGAGTAAGCTGCTTGAGCTTCGGATCAGCCGATCCAGATGTTGAGTCGAACTCCTGCTCAGCCTAACATGCAGAGCATGTTCGGCTGACCAAAGGAAACCGATGTACGGCTGATTTTAACCGATGTACAGCTGAAATCAGCCGTACAAGGCTGAAGTAAATAGCCAAACAGCGTTCGGCTCACTTCACTCCGGCTTGGTTATTCACTCGGCTTCCTTCAGCAGCTAAGTGAATAACCCCCTTAACGTTGAAGGTGGACAGCACTAAGACACTGCCTTGCAAATAGAAGCATAGACCTAATAGGCAACCTAATGGTGAACTGAAGAAGTCCTCATAGCAGGCTGACAATGTTCTTACTATTTGTGGCGCAGTGGCTTAACCTTGTCAGCCTTCAAAAAGAAGTGCTGTTACTGGCAGGATCTCCAGCAGGGCCAGATTTCCATTTCGACTGGAAATCTGTTTAGCCTGAGCCTGCGCCCTTACCTACTGCGAGAGTCGGCTTTTCGCATATGCAGAAAAGGGCCCCAGTGTTGTGTAAGGCTGACCTAAGCGTCTGTCTGCATCAGACAGGCATTTTACAGGGCAGCCTTATGCAGCGCTGGGGTCCTTCCCTTGTGTTTGTGGAAGTTGGCAGTTCCTGTAGGCGCTGCTGGTTTTGCAGCAGGAGGGTACATTTTGTGCAGAATGCTTGCTATTGCAGGAATTAGGCAAAGTAGGTACCTGCACAGTGCCGCTTTATGGAGGGTGCCTCTAGGCACGTGCCTACTCTGCCTAAAGGTAAGTTCGACCCAAAAAATGTGAAATCCGTCAAAAAATGATTTGCTAAAGAAACCTGTATATATTTAGTAATGATGCCAAATATACTGAAAATTGATTTTGGGTTTACATACACTTTACCTTCTTTTTATAAAGCAACATCATATTCCAAATTATATTTCCATATTCATGTAGTAAGACACCCAGATTTCAGATCAAACAGATGTTGCGCCTTTTGCTTTAATACCCTCTCACATAAACTGCTGCAGACAGCTGTGTCTGTAATTCTCCTCTGACAGTGCACAGTTGTTGAACTTGTAATTGAATTCAGTGGATACATCAAACGTTTGTACAGGCACAATGGATGATAAAAGTTAAAGTCTACACTCAGTAACTAAAATCTCATACAAGCTTTTTTTTTTTTTTATATTCTTTATTTATATAAGCATACCAACATAGTACAGAAGTGCGACACAGTAGGACCTCATGGCCCTGCATAATGAAACATATACAGAAATTCAGCTTATACATCACACAGCCGAGCCCGGCATGTCCATTCCCTTCTGCTCATACATAGTGCAATAAAACCATCAATCTGTACTAGAGGTCAGCATGCATTTCCACCTTACTTTTCTCAACAATTAACCAAGAAACCTAACTTGGACCCCAAGCCAGGAGGACCATCCCTCAACTCGAGCGGATAGCCTCCCAACTACTCGGGTTCCGCTGGAGGCGAATTACTATCTCATACAAGCTTTAACATATTTATGGAATTTTAAGTTATCTTCAGTCTTTTTTTAAATTTGCAGCTTTCATTAAAAGAATACCTGTTTATTCTACCATTAAGGTCCGTGTTCAGGCACTTCCTGTTATAGGGTGACAACTCTTTCCCAGCTGTGCCCCTACCTTGTCACTTTGTCTTATGTGTCATTGGCTGAAACAGCAAGTGGCTATGCCCACACACATTGGCCCACTGTCACTATCTTGAAGCCAATCAAGAGCAATGATGCGCACCCAATGTTGGAACAAGTACATGTAGACAGAGAGAGGCTAAAAGAGGCTGGAGGAAAGTAGCAGCACTGAGATCCAAAAAGGATTAAAAAATGGTAACAGCTGTATTTTATGAAATAAAAAAAAATGGCTTCTTATGATACACATGTGCTTTAACACAGTGCAAAATGTCAACCAGTTAGGTTTTACATCTACTTAAATAGGATCTATGTACAGGTCCTTCATCTAGATTATCACTATTGTTTCTTTCTTTCAGCAGCTCTAGAGGGAGCAGTGGAAAAGTGAGACACAAACGGCAGGCGCTGCAAGACATGGCACGACCATTAAAGCAGTGGCTGTACAAGCACCGGGACAACCCATATCCAACCAAGACTGAGAAAATCCTACTAGCACTTGGGTCACAGATGACTCTGGTTCAGGTAAATACGGTTAACATTGCTTTGGTTAAATAATCTAATTACATACCTCACCACAGCAATAGTAAAGATCAAGTCACATACCCATATATAATTAGGCAATGAGAATGAGCTTGGTGTCCTTCTTCTGTCTATATACGAGAACCCCTGGGGCACTTGTTTTGCTCCTTTGCCCATGTTACTTTTATGTTTTGCCTACAGATATGTAATACCATGGTTCTTGATGGTGATATTATTGGGCTTTCACCATTAATGCACACATAACAATGACATTATATAGTTAGGCAATGAGAGTGAGATTGACGTCCTTCTTCTGCCTATATACTAGAACACCTGGGGCACTTGTTTTGCTCCTTTGCCCATGTTACTTTTATATTGTGCCTACAAATATTTAATACCATGGTTATTGATGGTGATATGGTATGGCTTCCACCAATAATGCAGTGTTTTGCCATTGACCTCTTTCCTACATATGAAGGATTGATCAGCATAGATCTAGTACCCCTGGTTCATAAAAGACAGCTATAGGGAAATAAGGTTCTTCAGCCCAAGTTAATAAATTGGGTCAAGTCCTCAGCCCAGTACATACCTTTTCCAACAGAAAGAAGGAGTATTGGAGATGGTAAACACTACACAGTCCTGACCAGGCTTGTTTTTATTTTCAGCCATTTTGGACATGGTCCAGTTAAATGGGTGTATACAGTATGGTGAGGAGCATAATTTATTATTTTAAATGACATTTATCCTTTAAAAATGCCCATCTGGCATCTCTCTTTGTGGCTTAAAGGTTTATCTATGCAACCTTATTTATGCCTTTCTTTATCATACGCTATATTAAATGTCATATTCCTCAGTTCCTTTTTGGCCTGTTATAAAAAACTGCTAATGTTGATTGTGTATGTGAATGTTAAATTATTTCCACAGCAGATGTTATGATCATGCTGCAGTTACCTAAGCAAACGACAACCAATATTTTTTTTTGTGTCTATTGGTACCTTAAAACATTTCCTAATCTAACACTGCCTGATCATAATTAGATTTCTCAAAGACCGAAGATAACCTCTTACGTCGACCTGATTTTTGATATTTGAGCACTGCACAGTGAGTTTCTAGCCAAAAGAGACAAAAGAGATGCACAGTACATGGAGATCTGGCACAGATCTGCTGGCAAATGTGTCGAGCAGGTGCTACAGATGAACCCATATTTTATTAAGGGATAGTCTTCTGTTTAGTAACTTTAGCTTTGACCTTTATCGAGTAAATGAGTTTGGCTCCCTGCCACAATCTACTTGAATTTTTTTTGTTCTTCCTGCAGCAAAATCCACCACAAAAGCTTTACCTAAAATGTTCCCATATGCTGTTTGGAGAAGCAGCGATGTGTCTATAAGAGAGTAAGGTACTGTGAAGGGACAAGCTAGGCCTAGACTACACCCATGATTGTGTAATCCTGTACATTTGGTAAAAATCATCTTTAGCTCTGGTATTTTCTTTCTCCTTGGTGTAACATTTCCTAGCTGACCTGATGAGGTGTAATGGTTAGCTCCTGAAAGCGTGTCTATAAAATCCTCTTGTTAGAACAGTAAACCATTTTCTCCTCCGTTTCAGCCTATATGAAATTCCATGACATTAGATGCACGCAGAAGGATTCATTTACTGTTCCCCAAGAAACCATCTGCTCCCTTCACTGTATGTTCATGATGCCTGCCTTCTGTTCAGCAAATAGGTCAGCTTACTGCTCAAAGGCAATCTGTGCTGCTCTCTTGTGGTCTTCTCAATGTTTGACTGATGGGCAGCCTATGTTTCATCGGCTGTTCATTTTGACTTTGCAAGTTTAGCTTGCAGTTCATTGCCTGTCCATATTGGCCTTGAAAGGCTAGCTCACTGTTCATCGACTGTTCATGTTGACCTTAGATGGTCAAGCTGCTGTTCATTGGCTGTCCTTGTTGACCGTAGAAACATAGCCTACTTTTCATCAGCCTACTGTAGGTTAGTCTACTGTTCATTGGCTGCTCATGTTGACCTTGAGGGTGAACTTTCTGTTCCTTTGCTGTTCATATTGACCTTAAACAGTCAGTGTACTGGTCAGTGGCTGTTCATGTTTACCTTGGAAGGTAAGCCTATTGTTCATTGGCTGTTGATACAGACCTTGAAAGATCAGTCCACTGTTCAGCGGCTGTTTGTGTTTACTATTAAATGCCAGGCTACTTTTTATCAGCAGTTTATGTAACCTTAATAAGTTTAGACTTCTATTCAAGCCTGTTCAGCTTGCCCATAGCTGGCCACCTTGTTTAGTGATTGTTCACGTTGCATTTGGAAGGTATGGAATGCAGGTTTGGAATGAAAAGGCTCTTCATTTTACCCATGAGAGGTCATCTGAGCATCTATTTTAGTCCTCTGGTCACAATAACTACTACCCTACAATCAAACTATGATCATACTATAGACATACATGCCTGATATTTTCAAAAGATTCAAGCTTGGCTCAACAATAGCTTGCCATAATTGGTGATAACTCTTGAACCTTAATGAACACTTTTGAAGAATCAGTAGAGAAACTCAAGCATCTGCAAATAACTTGTGAGGCCCATCAGGAGATTAGTGGTCAAGGTTAGGGGGTTTTGAACACTCCTGGTGCAGGGGCTAGACACAAGGTGATGTACTAGTAACTAACAGCAGCATCAAAGGGGAAGCCAAGGGTTAGAGCTATAGAAGATATTTAATTTAGGTCAAAGTTAAAACCAGAATATCAAGCAGAGACAGGGTAGACCTGTAAGTGAGTGAGGCAGACCCAGCTCTCAGCCACAAGTCAATAAGAAGAATCTGCTGTATGGGTGATCTCTTCCACCTTTACTAGCCCCATTTTAGAAAAATTATAAGTGTTTTACCCTAATTGGATGCCCCTACATCTACAGACCTTTTTCTATACCCCATGGTAGAGAGATTGTACTAGAGTCTAGAGAGTACCAGAAAAGGCGCACACAAGGGTTAGTAGAAACCAGATAGAACATAGGTAAAAGTAAGCTGAAGGCTAATTGACACCAGAATTGATGTCTTCAAAAGGGAACACAGACAAAAAAAATCAGTGATATCTCGGGGGGAGTGATTAAAAACTTTGCAGCAGGGGCAGCCAAATAATGAGAGCTGGATCGCAGGGTTTCTAGGACAGGATCTAGACAAAGGACAGTCAAACACCAGGACAAATAATACACAGGTGTCCCGAGGCCGCGTGTCATGCGGAGCGGAGCCCGGGTGGCACCCCGCCGTGATGTAATCGCATGCGTGTAACGTCACCACATGCGGTCATCTCATTGACGCGGAGGGGACGTTCACCCGGTGGGATGAGGTATGCCGCCAGGTCCCCTCCTCTCTCCTGACACTGTCAGGCTCTCGGTCCATGAGTGCACGACTTTTTAGAAGGAGGTGACACCAAAATTACTTCAGTCATTTTAGTGTCACCCCCTCCAATGGTGTCACCCGTGTGCATATGCATACTCACAATCAATGTACCAGGAAAAGACTGCTAGTAATGCACAAACATTTATAGTCTCAGGAATGAGAGAGACCACTGAGAGTATGAAGTCATATGGTGATAGGAAACATACAAGACAGCAGAAGGACAAGCAGCTAACGGTGTGGATAGAAGAAATAGCACAGTAAGTAGGCAAAACCTACAATTTTTAAGAAGTAGCAAAAATAGATCCTTTCAAAAATATTTTTGTTCATAACTGCAATTTTTATTAAAATATCTGTGACTACACAGGTACAAGATGTATAGCCGGTTAGTGACAAAAACGTCACCCAAATCACAACTTTGTAAAATATGTATACCATGGGTGAAAAGCAGGGCCGGATGGCCTCCGTATGAGACACTGTTGCTCCTAATTGAGAGGTGTTAGATGAAGAGTTTTGCAAATCTTATACAGGTGCTCCATGGGGTACTTCCCGAAGCACATCCAACTGGGTAGACATCCCAGGGTACACCTATAAAAGGCTGGTGTAACAATGTCTATCATCTTGTCTGCAAAATTTCTTTAAATTCCCCCAGTTGGAGATCTGAGGTTGGGGCCAAGCAAAGTGAAGTCAAGGTTGTTCTGCTCATCCTGCTTTCCCTTAGATCTCCACAGGCTCAGTTTGGGTAATACAATAGCGATTGAGAATATTGGAAACCCCTTTTGTAAATTTTAATTTTCCATACAACTGGCAAAGTTTGCTCACCATTCTGTATAAAACAGTTTCAAGCATTCTCGATGGAAGATGTTGCTTGGCCACTGTGCATTTGTATGATCTCTTATGCAACTGTTGGGATTGGTTTTGCCAGCCAGAAGGAGAAACACGTGGCCAAAGTGGTGGCCCTCATTAATAAGCTCCAAATGTCCTCATCAATTACAGTATCCCTCCTGCTCCAATGTGACATTTAATAATGGATTACTGGCGTCTACAGCAGCGTGAGCCCAAGTAAAGATGTATAATTCAGACATCTCTGTTAGAGCTAGATTGTTTTGCAGTGGAAAATGAGAGATGGTTTTATGGATCCTGTGTCTAGTGTTACCTAACAGCATCTCGGTGCAAGACGCATATAACTCAACTCATTGGCAAAACATCTCACTTTTTCAACACATGTGGACATGTTAAATCCCAAAGCTGTCGCATAGCTAATCCCTAATACGTGACCTTTCCAGCGAATGGTTTTGCAGCTTATAAAACAAGGCAACACCGTGAAATAGCAAGTCTAATAATTACACATACAGCATAATGCGGGTTTGTTTCACTTTTTTTCTTGAAAAATGGGATACAGAAGTGATGTACAAATATGGGGAAAACAAAGTCAATGAAAAGAGTTATTGCTGTTAATAACACATGGCCATGTACACTCCATTAATGTTTTTACAATGGCAACCCAGAAACACTGACGCTTTTGTAGCACTTATTTTTCTATGTTATGTTAGTAATGCTTGTTAAGGAAAACTACGACTTAACACTATCCGCACCTAAAAATGAAGCAT